AAAAAAATCTCTTAATATCCATGCATACACGTTTAGGTACTTCTCTGATATGCCCTGGAGACATCTTCTGAGCTACAGCTGGACCCTACTATCCTCCACATTCATCATAAACTAATATAAGGGACCTCTTGTACCTCTACAACACATTGGTTGTATAGATGATGTGGAATCTTTAGCACTGTACTCTCCCATAATAAGAACCAACATCAATTCTATCATCAAATTGTTGTGAAAGAAGCTTTGACATTGACTTTTTTACAAAAGATTGCATTTCTTATTTGACTGGTTCTGATACTTTAGCACACAGTGCAATATGTTTATGTGAGTAAGAGATGTGCTCCTTCATCCTTGTAACACCTCATTTAACTATCTTGTCATATTAATTGTATTTCAAATAAACATGTCTTATCGTTGCTTCCAACATCAATTTGCATAATGCCTCCAAATTGGATCTTTTCAATTGCTCAATATGAATTTCTCCTTGTCTAACTATTTCTCACAAAATTTGAAAACCATATAATGAAAATTTTGTTTTAAAAAAAATTGAAAGTTTGGAATTCATGCAACTGTAAAAATTTAACCCTAAAATGTATGGATAGATGGATGTAGCATACATCATATAAAATGAACATAAGAAAAGAAATAAAATTGTCTATGCCACCGATAAAGAATGAACAAAGACGCTCATTGCATCTATAATGATCCATGAGTTGAATAACTAAGAGCGAGACGTATCCATCAATGGTGAATAGTATGACATAATGCAAAGGTCTCGAGGATACATAAAACATAGTGTTTGATATAATAAAATGTTTTAAATGCAACATAGAATATTAAAAAATATAAATAAAGATGCAACTAAATAAATATAAATGATCGTTTATGAATGACAATTAGATTAAAAAACAAATTATTATAGTAATGAGAACTAAATTTATAAATAGAACTATCATTGATTCATTCTTATAATATCAAATATTGAAGCTTTACCTCAATTGCCCAACCACTCAAAATTCAAAAACATACTTTTTTTTTGGGGGCATTTACATACATACCACTCAATTCCTATGTGTTTATACATCTAAGCCTATACTTTAATTTTTTTTTACTTTAAGTTTTACTTTTTACATTTATGACACCTAATAGCATAAATACCTATGAATTCAACAAGTAGAGACAGAAACAGAGATAGAAAATTTAAACTAAATAACAGCAGGTGGCAACAACAACATCTATGGTAAAAAGAGTATAAGGCGTCGGAGTCGGCATTGGAGTCTGGAGCAGAAGGATGCATCACCAGATGCGTGAGAGGAAGATAGGTGGCTTGCGACAGGGAAGCTTACGAGTTCAAATGAAACACCAGAAAGTGGTTGCGATCGGTAGTTACGACAGCAGAAGGATCATGCGTCGGTGTCGACAACATCAGCATTGGCAGCGAAGACGGCCTGCTGGATGAGATCGAGACAAAAGGCTTGAGGGAGACGATAGCTTGCGGGCTTGAAACATATATGCACGTTTGAATACCTAAACTAAATATGAAGTGAATGCCTCATTGAATCAAAATCAAAGCGCTCCTTATCATACACATCAAAATGCCTAAGATGTTGCAACGACCAATTCAAGCGATACGTGCGCTTTGAGCAAAAAATTTCTAGATTGTGCAAAGGCGCATCTAAATTATAATTGTTAATCACTGGTAAAAAATGGCAATGAGAAATGGAGTAGGAATAAAACAAAACAGAAAATGGCAAACAACCAAAATACTATTTTTTTTTCTTTTCAAAGGGCATGAATGAAAGGCCTTTAAAAGTAGCGAGAAGAATTGGAAGAAGATCCTCCAATCCATAATAAGATTGCAAACTGACATCTATCATAGATGTAGGGTCCGTTTGGGGCAGCTTTTATTTGGTGCGGTGGCATTTTGAAAACGCACCTGACTTGTTTGGGTAAACTGCGGTTTGATAGCTTATGCATTTTCAAAACGCTGAAAACAGCGTTTTCACACCGCATCTATCTAGGTGCGGTGACAACTTTCTGACAGCTGGCTTTTCCAAAAAAATAAATATTTGTAATAGCCACCGCACTTAGCTTATCAACAGATTATTCAATAAGCTGCAGCTGCCCCAAACATACCCGTAATGTGGCAATTTGCACCTATAAGCTATGAAGAAGCTATTAAAGACCAAAAATGGAACATGGCAATGGAGTTGTCAATGATAAAAAAGAATTAGACTTAAGAGCTAGTTGATAAACCAGATGATGGAAAAATCATAGGAGTGAAATAGGTGTCTAGAATTTCAAGTTCTATGCTATAGTGTCTATCAATAAACACAAAATCTTAACTTGTCTTCAAGGAATATGCTAAAATCTTTAACTGCTCAGACATATTTGCCACAATTATAAAATTGGACACAATTTGGCTGGTACTAGAGAAAACCGTGCAGCATGATCGAAAAGTCTTTCAACTAAATGTCAAATCAGCTTTTCTAAATGGTTTATTTTATTATTCTAGGCTCTATACACTTTTTTTATACCATCAATATCCTTTTTTAGTAGGTTTTACCAATAGTTTATCAGAAATCACTCTCTATGCAAAAGAAAAGAAATTATTTTTGTCATTGTATGTGAATAACTCGTTGATGACAGGCAATATAAAACTTGTTGATAAATTCAAGCAAGAGATGATGCAGGTTTTTGAAATGGGTAATCTTGATTTGATGACATATTTTGTAGGCATAGAAATCAAGCAAAGATTATGAAAAAAAAATTCATTTGCTAAGAAAAATATGGTAAGAAAATACTTAAAAAAATTCAAATGGAGGGATACAAAGTAATGGCTACACTGAAGAGTAAAAAATAAAGCTTAATTAAAGAAGATGGCACAGATAAAATTGAAGAAAACTACTATAGAAATATGATTAGATGTCTAATGCATCTAACTGCAATAAAGCCTGATATTATTTTTATTGTAAGTATTACATTTGCTAATGAGATGCGTCTAAAAGCACCAAAGAGAATCATTAGACACATCAAAGGGACTATTAACAATGATATAAATTTCATATAGTATCGAAACTTCATAAGTTTATAGTATTTTCTGACACTGATTGGGGTGAACCCATGAATGACATGAAGAGTACAAAGGACTACTTTAATCAAGGATCAGGTGTATTCCCTTGACTTTCCAAGAAATAAGAAACTGTAATTCAATCTAAAGCAAAGACAGAATTTATTGTTGTTATAACTAAAGTGAGTCGAGCATTATAATTGAGGAAGTTGTTAATTAATTTATGTTTGAATCAACTGAATAAAATATAAGTGTTAGTAGACAAACAAACTCAAATTGCTATATATAATAATCCAATTTATCATGAAAAAAAAAATAGATATTTTAAAATCAAGTTATTCTTTTTAAGAGAAGTGCAGAAATAAGAAGATGTGAGTTTGTTCGCATAGATTTAAAGATCAATTTGCAGGCATTTTTACAAAACCTCTTATAACAAACAAATTTGAATTTCTTATTCAAAGATGCAACTTGTGCTCCACCTAATACAAAGAAGAGTGTTAGTTATTTCGCATTAATTTTGGCAATTAACTTGTCTTATCCATGCTGATTTAAATTAAGTTATTGCTCCTAATTAGTGGTTCGTTTCAAAGTTAGTTTCAGATTTTAAAGTGTGAACATTTGAATATGGAAGTTTTCTCTTTCAGTATATGTTTGTTTCTGATGTACTCTAAAACAGTAAATGAAATTCTGCGCATGGTTAAGAGTATTTCTCCCTGCAGTTGTCAATCATTCTTTTGTGTTATCGAAATTCAAAATTAAGTGTTTCTTTGATTCTTTTGAAACTTGGAAACAAAATTAACTTTCTTAGAATATACCCCAAACTACAAATACTGTAGAAAAGGAGGATGGCTGCCAATGTAATGTTATTCATATAGAGGGTAAATAAAAAATTAATAGATCACATCCACTTCTCAGTCAAACAGCCTGGTTAAGACAAACCCATTTGAATCGTTCTTCAAAGATTAAACAGTATCCTCTAGTAATTAATGTGATATTGAGACTCTGAAAGAGAAAAGAACTACCAAGCAGTACAAAGTTTTATAAGGTCATATAATTTGTAGCAAATATCTGGAGTTTCTGAAAATAAATAATCACATAATCTCCTTTATTTTTAGCCCATGCTCTTCATCAAACTCTTCATCTCGCACTCAAATAAATACAAACAATAAAAACTCACACCCAAAACCGAAGGAAGAACTCACAAAACTTTTCCAGTAAGGGCTAAAGAAGAAGGGATTAGAGGCCGGAAAAAAGAAGGAAACATAAAAAACAAATTGAAATCTAACCAGTATTTAAAAATTCAAGCATCAATACCCTGTTTGGCTTTCAGATGCTAATGGTAACATCTCTTATGCCTCTTTCCTCTTCTTGCTGAAACAATTCTTAACACTGAACCCCATTACCTTCCTCTTCTACCCTTCTTCTTTTCATCTTTGTTTTAATTTCAGTCTTTAATATAGCCACAGAATTTTTTCAGTAAAGTATCGGTGGAATTTTAATTTTCTGTAAACAAAAATGCTCCCTTTACCTTCGATTAGCTTGAAAGGCCTTGCTCTGAAGGAGAACATTGTCAGGCTTTAAACAATTAAAAATAATAATAATAATAATAATAAAATTAAAAAAAAAGGAATTTGAACCATAGAAAAATCACAGCCAATTAAGAAACATGGCTAAATGAGGTAGTTTGCCACTTCTGAAATCAATAATCTAGGTCTCTGAACTTCCATATCGATGTAAAATCAAAGGAATTTACTTTCCGTAAATCATAAATTACTTAAAGATCTCCTTAGATCCATTGAGAAATTAAGCTAAAAATCTTATCCACGCCATGTTTAAATGTTCATAACACTGAGCACACGTTTCCAACACGAGATTTTTTCCTCCGATAAAAAACAATTTTAGGTAAAAGGTGAAAGTTCGAAGCTACTGAAACCTGAGATCGAACGAAGCCAAAGCGCTGCTTGGATCGATGCCGTTCAAATGTTGGAGGTTTTGCGGTTGAACATAGGAAGCTAACTCCGATCCGAGGCCCAGCAATCCGCTGCGTCTGAAACGGTGACAATGAGCAGGACGAGGCGGAGACGATCATCGACGAGATCTCCATTGAAGAAGCTTCTGATTCCTCCTTCGGGATTTATCGACCTTTCAGAAGTTGAATCGGACGCCACACCTAACAGATGATCCCGCGACAGAAATTTTAGGACGACTGAACAACTGCAGCTACCTTCTCACTTCAATTAAAATTTTAGTGTCATGATACGTATTATGGTTGTCTTCTATGCTTAGATTGTGGCCCATGAAATATATATATATAATATATATATATATCTGTGTGTGTGTGTGATAACATAATATTATTATATCAGTAATAATCATCTTTATTATGGTTAGCCGGACCAACAGGTCCTTAAGAAAATCATTAGATTTCCAAAGAATTGGTGCCCAACTTTTCTTATTTCAATGTATCATAGAAAAACTAGCTATGTACAATATATATATATATTTAAATAAATATATATATATAGCCCGATTTCGCTCCCGACTCCTGCTCCCAATCGCGAAATATCGCAACCCTAGCTCCCGCTCCGGCCTCTTCCTCTGTCACGAACTGCTCCAGCCTGCGCCCGTCCCCGCCTTCTCTGTTTCGCGAAGCGAAGCATTCCTTCGCTCGCTATAAGTCGCGAACAGGCAGCAGCTCCGCGCGGTGCGTGTGGTTCGAGCGAGCTCTCCAAGGCTTCTTCTTCAGTGGGCGTTGGCTCGCGGCATAATGAAGAAGAAGAAAAGTATCGCACCGCTCTCCTTCAGTTTAAAGCACGGCCTTTTTGTGTTCTTCTTCGGGCTTCCTCAAGATAGAAGAAGAGAAGTGCAAGCATTAGTTCTTTGCCGCAAAAGGGAGAAGAAAGAAGAAGAAGAATATTGTTCTCCCTTGACTTCTTTTTAGTGGTTTGTGGCAGAAGAGAAATTGAGTTTATTTCTCTTGTAAGTTTATCTTCTTCAGTGTATCTCGGTGTAGAGAGAGAATAAGAGAGAGCAACAAAGTAAGAGATCCCTCTTGTAAGTCGAGATGATCGACTTGTGTATATCACTCAATTAGTAAAATCTTCTTCAATTCCGTGAACGTAGGCAATTGCCGAACCATGTAAATTTGTGTGTCCCGCTCTGTTACTGTTTCTGGTGTGAATTTTCTCGTTTCATTTTTCGCTTCATCAAAGATCATTCTCTTATTTTATTTCTATATACCACAACAATAAATAAAAATATATATATATATATATATATATATATAATGCACATTGTAAACAAAAACTCTTTTCATTTTCACCACTAGGAAAAACTTATTTGTAGAAAACATAGATATTACACGCACACACACACATATTTACATATATTGCACTTGTGTACTATCAAATAGTGTTAAAATATTAATAAGTTCTATATTTATATAAACACATCTCATATTCTTATAAATGAATGTCACTCAGATTCACGATCATAAGCATGTGATAGTCTTGTCGCAAATTTATTATATATAAATAAATTGTCTACTTTTTTATTTATTATTCATGCTGCATGCCCTAGTTCTTCGTTATCTATGCTTTAATAAATAATTATTTATTGGGTTTGATTCGTTATCTTAGCATAACACGTTCCGCTCAGTCTCTAACAAACTTTTCAGCTTTAGATTTACTTTTAGCATTTTTAGTCTCACAAAACTATATTTTCTTTCTTAACACGTAAAATATGTGTGCGCGCGTGTAATATTATATATATATATATATATATATATATATGCAAATTGCATATTTACATATCTAATACCTAAATTTTCATATTTACATTTACATTAAAATTACCATTCTTAGTGATTTTAAATACATCATTTCATGCATGAATTTATAACATTAAAGGGTTATAAAATATATCAGCACTGAATTTTGAATGAGAGATCTAATTCAATTTAATTAGATGAGTATGAAAAACAATTCACTTAGAAAGTAACCCTTCAAATTTTAAGGGGTCATTTACATACATGCCACTTATTTCTTTTTATTTACATAATTACATATCAAACACCTAAACTTTTACTTTTTTTTACATTTATACCACCCAAACTTTTCATATACCATACTAAAATTTAAAAAAGTTAAATACATCTTTTCATGCATAGATAAAAGTGTGGTGTTAGAATAAGGTTATTGTTCTCATTTTTCATACATGTGATTCATTTCTTTTTCACAACACGTACATTGGGCCCATCCAAGAGAAAAAATATTACAACAAATTGCATCCGGACTCAAATCAATGTCTGTCACATGTATAATCTGGTTCCCCTTAATAAAAAAATTTAAATAAGTTAATACATGATGGGGCCAAACTGTACACATGACAGACAGTGATCAGGGTCCTAATGCAATTTTTCTGATGTAATATTTTTTCCCATCCAAGAGATATGAGAGATAAGGAAGATAGTTCTAGCATCGAGAATCTTTATGAACTTAGCCTTGGACACCTTATCCATATCCAAATTAAATATTTTTGGTGCCCACTTGAAGGCTTAAAATACTCTTTCATTATGATCTCATGCATAGAAATGAACTTAGCCTTGGACACCTCAAGATATATTTTCTTTCATCCTTTATCCAAAAATATCATTAATAGCTTCCTCCCTACTCGAGGACAAAATGACAACTTCTCACCAAATTGTGGAGAAAATATTACATCAAGACTCCTAACACAGTTTGCGTTCGGAGTCCAATAGCGGGGCGTCACGTGTCAAGTGTGCCCCACTGTTATACGCTGATATTGACCAATGTTAAAATGGTGGAGCCTACCTGACACGTAGCAACTCACCATTGGCCTCCGAATGCATTAGGAGTCCTGATGTAACATTTTTTTTTTTCCAAATTGTGAACTTTAAAGTGAAGGTACGAGAAATAAAGTATTTTAATTTAAGTCAATGTTTAACAACAATCAACAATCTAGTGAAAATGCTTAAAACTTTCAAGAACTTTGAAAAGAAAATGGTAAGCAATTATCTCTTGATTTTAAAATAAAGCAACTAAGGCCCTATTTTTGGCAGAAACATTTCCAACAGAGAATAGAATTCTACTCTTGAAATGTCATCAAGCTCAATATTTCAAATCTTCTAATTGTTCAAGATGTAATGCCTTTCTCTAATAAGTTGCCCCAGTATTTTTAATCCAAATGACATGGCATTGTAGCAATACATTCAGTCACTATATATGAAAGTTTTTATCTAATAATCAATGAGATCTTTATATGGTGATAACTTGTGAAAGCGTCGATAAAGCTGGTCATTGAGAAGTCAACAATTGAGCTGAAGAGTGTGTCAATTTGTGAAAGTGGATGGTTGGTCGAGGTTTATGAAATCTTTAGATATCTTCGGTTTTATATTTGATCTTTTGGCCATACAAAGATTTTATATATAATCTAGGAATAGTACTATTCAATCATTAATAGCTTCTAGATTTTGCAATGAATTCATTCTACCCATGTTATCATCTTGAATTTGTATTTTTTTTTCCTCTTAGAAACTTAAGTTTGTCTGTTTAATGTGGATATAGACTTTTTATATTTTTGCAACTACCAAGCAAGAAAACTCAGAGTTAGAATAAAGAATATTAGCAAGTTTAGCCTTAGACTATAGGTCAAAGAATATGCAAGTCCTTAAGGTGCAAGTTAGATCATCTTTTAGAAACTTTGAACTTCCTTGATTGCTTTAGAGCCCGTTTGGGTCAACTTTTTTGCCG